AACCCTAAACCCTAAACCCTTTTCCCTAAACCCTAAGCCCTATAGACCCTAAACTCGGTTCGAGGGCCGACCGATGGAGATTCGGGGGTCTATAGTACCGGGTTTAGGGTTTAGGGTACTCTGAATAAGGAATATACCACAATTCATAATTCCTAGTTTAGGGTCTTAAGGTAATGCAGGATTTCGATCATCAACCATAGAATCCCGTGAGCGTGGCAATAATCGCTTCAAGAAAGCGCAGTCTGCACGTACTGTATTTGGGGGGCTCCTGACAATAGGGTTCAGGGTTCCTTTAAAAGGGTTCCTTTATTGGGCTCCTTGAAGGGATCATATAGGGTCTAGAGGTTCTAGGTTTAGGGTTTAGGCCTTCCCGCTGTTTCCAGCTAAATACATGACATGCGAAGGTGCCTTCATTCCGTCGTGTGGGATGCACAGGCTACACGAAGACTCGCAGCGCTTGACAGCGATGTGTACCACGTAAGTTCTCAAGAAACCATACCAAGCACATCCACAAACCAGGCTGAGGCGCATGAAGTCCAACTGCATTGCACTCTAAGCCCTCAAACCTCACATGCCTAGCCCTCAGTTACATTGACAAAAGAAAGATGGCTCTCACCCGATTCGACTTAAGGGGTTAGAGCTTATTTGGGAGTTTCCGAAAATAGGGGGTCCTTATTTTGGGGTCCTTATAATAGGGATCCTACTATTTAGGGTACTATATTAGGGTCCCCTACTTTCTGAAGCCCCCATTTTTGAAGAGTGCCGCATTGAGCCTGTTGGCAACATCCCAGGCACCAACCTAAAGCTCTAGAGCTTGCCCTAATGTAGAAGCCTTAATAATTAGAATAGGGTTTTGGGGTAGTTTAGGGTTTAGGGTTTAGGGTTATACAGTTATACTATAAATATAAGAAGTAACCCCCAAAAGAGTATAGGCAACTATTAAGGCCCAATAGTAAACCCTAAGCCTTAAACCTTCAACCGGTGGCTACCGGACACCTACGGCCGACCTATGCCCACCTTCGCGACCACATCCACGACTGCGTCCCAGTCCCTAATTGAAAGCAGCTCCAGCTTTGCGGGCTCGTGATCCTTGAGGATCGTGCTCCTCTTCAGATGAACGGCCATGAAACTAAGGATTTTGGACGACCGTCACTTTGCACCTTGACTTCCAACTTGGAGAAGCTGTAAGCTGGACGTGTAAAGGTCGTAGGGCGAGGTTAGTTCCTGATTCCGATCTTGGATTTCGAGCTTTTCGGAGCTTTGCATCGAAGCCTGTCCATAAACAGTTGTGCTAACTGACTGGACCCTGTGCTGATACGCTTTCCCGACGATGGGGCCTTCTCAGCACGGCTGCAAATGCATCGTGGTTGTTGCAGTTCTTGCAGCTGATCCAGAAGTACGTAACGACGATGGCAGCAGAGACGCTGGAGACAATGCAGGTGGGAGTACTGAAAACTAGCAATACGATTTATCCGACACTACGACGACGACTGATACTGCTTGCTGCTACTACTGTTGCTACTGCCCCGGCTCCTGCTGCTGCTGCTGCTCCTGCTCATGCTCCTGCTCATGCTCCTGCTCCTGTTCCTACTGCTCCCGCTACTGCTACTGCTACTGCTACTGCTACTGCTACTGCTACTGCTCCGACTCCTTCTCCTACTCCTCGCCATACTCGTACCCTGCTCCTATTCCTACTCCTTGTACCACTTTTACTACACTAATATTATTACTGCTACTACTACTACTACTACTGCTGCGACGACGACTACTACCACTACTAGTACTACTACCAC